GTTCCCTCCCCACGGTGTCCCGCAGAGAGCCATCTGTCCGGGTGGGCTGTGCCAGAAAAGCTTTTCTGCTGATTCTTCTCTTGTCTGTGTTCCAAGGACATGGTTTCTGTTCTCGGGAGGTGCACACGTGGTCATACGTGCACATACTGTAAAATATATGTGAATGTAAATGTGTTTTAAGGTATCTGTAAGGTTTTTGTCCCCCACGTGGGGAATTGAAACCAAAGAGGACTTGTTTTCTCCATCTAGGGTTTAAGTCACAGTGCTTTAGTGACGCCCATTAGGCTGGGCGGTGGCCGCTGTCCTTGTCGGGGGCTGGGACGTAACGGTGACCCCTGGTGCTGCATGTGCTCTGCCCCGACCCTTCTGCAGGTTGAGTTTTAGGTATTTTTTTTTTAACCTCGTGCAAGGGGTTCCCAAAGTATTTTGGGAAGAACCTACTCGGAGAGAAGTTTTTTCAAAAGTTTTCTAGAGTCTGGCTGGTCCATCTTGCCCGAAGTTGTGCCCCTTCCTCACAGAAGACCCAGTGCTTTCCTGACGCGCAGCCTTCTCCGTGTCCTTAGCCGGCTGAAGTTCTCAAGAATCCTCCCGCTTGGGTTTTTTGGGGGTTTTTTTGGTGGTGGGTGAGGCCCAGGGCTCTGATGGCCCCTGAGCGCGTGTCCCCAGGCTGTAGGGGGTGGGCCATGGACCCTGGGCCTAGTGCCCTGGGAGCGATGGGGCCAGTGGAGAGTGCGGCCTGTGAAGAAGGGACAGTTCTGAGCTCTCAGGGCTCCTTGTAACTAGACCTGGGTCCTCACTGACGTTTTAATTCAGTAGTTAAATGGGAATATTCTTTTCTGTCATGGGCGTTATTCTGAAGAATGGGTCTTTCCTCATTAGCGCCTATTTCTCTGTGTTCTGTTTTGTAGACACTAAGGATTTGGCTTCAAGTATTTTATTTAAATGATACTGTTTTTGTAATAGTTTATTTTACCCACTGGTTTTATGCACTCAGCTTACTTTATAGTAGCATGTGTTTGCCTTTCCTCCGTATGACTGGTCTGTCTTTTAGTCCCTTTCCTCAGAAGTCATTTTGGAAAACAGCAAGTTGCCAGAAGGCGTAACAATAAATTACAAGTCTTACTGCAAGAATGGGGTGAATGGAACGGGGGAAAACGGGAGAAAGTGCTCCAACATTTCCATTGGCGATGAGGTACGCGGTGTAGACGTTTGCTGAAGAATAGAAAAAAGTGCTTGTTTGTAAACAATCTAGTTTATAGTTTGAGAAGTAGTTAAAGAACTATAATTTGAGTAGCTTTTTGAAAAATTTTTAGTAGATTGCTTAGTTGTTAATCTTTTTTTCTTTCAAGGTTCAATTTGAAATTAGCATAACTTCAAATAAATGTCCAAATAAGGATTCTGAAACGATTAAGATTAAGCCTCTGGGCTTCACTGAGGAAGTGGAGATTATTCTTGAATTCATCTGCGAATGTGAGTGCCAGAGCGAAGGCATCCCCAGCAGCCCCAGGTGCCACGATGGCAACGGGACGTTCGAGTGCGGGGCCTGCAGGTGAGCTGGGGCCGCGGGGGCAGGCGCTGTCCGCAGCACAGAGGTGACTGTCGCCCCCGCAGGGCCGCCTGAGGACCTCCTGTGTGCTATTTGATGACTTTCCCTCTGAAAGACTCTTACAGCCGCCCAGAGTGGGTATTTAACACATGGTTAAGGTTGCTCTGGGGTTTTTCTCTCACATGGTATCAGTCTGAATTCTCTAGAGCTAAATGAGCTTATTCAAAGTATGTTCACAGAAGCATGTTTTAGAAACATATTAGACTTACCAGAGTGATTTTATCTGGGAAATGGAGTTAGGAAGCAGTGAGGGATGTTGACCTTGTACTAAATGTCCATCTTCATTGTTGGAATAGTTTTTTAAAGATACATTTTGTAAAATGAAGACAGTATTTTAGAACATAAAATCTGCTACTAACAGAACTGACCGAATTATTTTAAATTTTCACACGGGTTACTTTTTAGTTAAAAATTAAAGTAGAATATACCTGAATACAGCTTTCTTCTTAGAATAGGAGGGAAGAATATTTTGATCTCAATGTCAGCCCCAAGTGACTAGTCTTTGAAGAGGTTTTAATCATGAGAAAAATAAATTGGCTGCGTTTTGCCATCAGTTGCTAAGAGGTCTGTTATGTAGAAACAGAACAATTAAAATGTAAAGTTTTGTTTTTCCCTGTTGTACAAAACCTGGGTTGTGTAGACCCGTTTCAGTACAACATTATTTAGAAGATTATCTTGAGAATGTTTTGCATGCCTTCCTTTTGTAGATTTACCAGGTACAGGACTAGTGTATTTAGTGTCTATAAACACTCCATGTCCTAAAAATATACAGTGTGTCTGGAAAGTCTGGACCCGTAGTTTATTTTTAAGCTGTGTATTCTCAGATGATATGCTCGGTATATTTTTCTCCCATTTCTGTGCACCTTTTGGGGTGTGTTTATTGTACTTTGGGTGAACAGTTGGCCTGTTGCTTCACCTGTAATAGCAAACATGATAAATAGCGTATCACGCACTCTAAAAAGAAGTTTATGCTGTGTTTCTGGAAGTTTTGTCACCTGTGGGTTGCCAGGCTGTGTTTTCACCTTGGGCGCCTTCCTGAGGAGGGGGTTCCCTCGGCCCCTGCGTGGGAGCCTTGGGGCCCGAGCCCGCCCGTGTCACCAAGTCATGAGAGGTGGCGCTGGCTGTCTGGCTCCCTGTCCCCGGCGTCTCGTGCTCGGAGTGGCCTCTGCTCACGTGGCCACCATCTCGGCCCATCCAGGTGCAACGAGGGCCGTGTGGGGAGGCAGTGCGAGTGCAGCACGGACGAGGTGAACAGCGAGGACATGGACGCGCACTGCCGCAAGGAGAACAGCTCCGAGATCTGCAGCAACAACGGCGAGTGCGTGTGCGGCCAGTGCGTGTGCCGCAAGAGGGACAACACCAACGAGGTCTACTCCGGCAAGTTCTGCGAGTGCGACAACTTCAACTGCGACCGCTCCAACGGCCTCATTTGCGGAGGTAGGGGCTGGGCTACAGGGGTCGGGGGAGCCCGTCAGCCTGGGGGTAGGGCTGGGCTGCGGTGGGGAGGAAGGGCTGCAGGTGCTGACAGAATGGGCCCTGTCTGCACACTAGGAAGGGTGCAGCATTTGCTTCCTGATCAGAGAAGGGGCAGCCTGGAGGGTAGCTCCATCCCTTGGACACTCTTTCTTCCACATTATTGCTTATTTCTCCTTTCCAGTCAGTGCTGTGATCTGACGTTCTTAACCATCTTTAATTGCAGGAAACGGTGTCTGCAAGTGTCGCGTGTGTGAGTGCAACCCCAACTACACGGGAAGCGCGTGTGACTGCTCCTTGGACACGTCCTCCTGCCTGGCCGTCAACGGGCAGATCTGCAACGGCCGGGGCGTGTGCGAGTGCGGCGCCTGCAGGTGCACGGACCCCAAGTTCCAGGGGCCCACCTGCGAGATGTGCCAGACCTGCCTCGGGGTCTGCGCTGAGCACAAGTGAGTGTCCCGACACCCGAGGCTGCCTCCCACTGTCGCGTGGTCCGGAGGGGTCATGCCCTAGGGGACGTCTGCCGCCCTGAAGCCACCTTCAGTCTTAGGGCTTCCTTCTGGGTAGCGCGCGTTTGCGCGCGGTGTTGAGATGTGTCTTGGGGTTGGAGGTGCGTAATTTCGGTCTGAATTTGCTGTGTGATTGAATCGTGTGGTAACCTTCATTAAATTAGCGTTACCAGTTGCTTAATTAACTGTCTTGGGCCTAAACAAAGCAACATGGAAGGTTTTGCCTTTTGAAGAACTACTATCGTACCAGCAGAACATTGTTTAAATTATTTTGGTTTTATGCTAAATAATTAATACCTGGTAGGACTAGCTTACTGCTTTCCTATTTCTTTTGGAGGATTTTTGTTTGAACTGTAATAAATCTGTAATTTCACTTGGGAAACTAGCATCTTTTTGTTTAGTTTCCCCGTCAGGAAGTGTCATATATCTCTTCATTTATTCAGATCTTTCATAGCTCCTGGTTTAATTTTGTCAAATTTTGAGTCCAGCACTCAAAATAATCTTGAAGGAAATACTTGTTTCAAATAATGATGTAAAGGTATGACTCTGTTTCCCCAGAGAGTGTGTTCAGTGCCGAGCCTTCGATAAGGGAGAGAAGAAAGACACGTGTGCCCAGGAGTGCTCCCACTTCAACGTCACCAAGGTGGAGAGCCGGGACCGGCTGCCGCAGCCAGGCCAGGTGGACCCCCTATCCCACTGCAAGGAGAAGGACGTGGACGACTGCTGGTTCTACTTCACCTACTCGGTGAACGGGAACAACGAGGCCACGGTGCACGTAGTGGAGACTCCAGGTGGGGGGGCTCACGCTCGCTGTGGGTCTTCCTCCTGCTCCAGCTGCTGGCAGGGGCCCAGCACAGCTGTGCTGCTTCAGGCTCAGGCTGAGACATCTGTGATCTCAGAGCATGAAGTAGGATTTAATTAACCACGTGGGAGGGACGGGGAGGAGAAGGCAGGCTGTAGGTTCCCGTGGGGAGTGTCAGCAGGCTTGGGTCATGCATGCCCTGACGCCAAGCCCACGGCAGGCACCCCGTGAGCAGCCTTCATCCCTGAGCTTCACCTAGGCTTGGAAAGCGTACAGCTTGACTTTGAAACATTTTTATCTTAAGCTTTTTTAGGTGCTCTTTATATTTTTTGGAATTTTCTACATTTGTGTGCAGGTTTTCATGGGAATATAAGGTTTAATTTCTCTTGGATAAATATTAGGAATGGATTTGGGAGCCATATGATAAGCATATGTTCAACATCAGAAGAGACACAGCCAGACTGGTTTTTAAAGTCTCTTGTGTTTTGCATTTTCAGACACGTGTTTTACAAATTCTCCCCATCTGTGCTTCCTTGTCTTTTCATTTTCTTAAGTGTTTTCTGAACACCAGAAGTTTAATTTTTTTTTCTGGTAGGGAGGAGGTAATTAGGTTTCCTTATTTATTTAAATGGCGGTCCTGGGGCTTGAACCCAGGACCGCATGCTTGTTAAGCACTTGCTCTACCCCTGAGCTGTGGCCTCCTTCCCCTGACGCTTGAATTTTGATGGACTACAATTTACCAAGTCTTCCTTTTATTACTACTATGTGAGAACTCTGATTCAAGTTCTTAAGGGTTTTTCTCTTGTGTTTTCTTCTGGAAGTTCTATAGTTTCCAGTTCCCCACTTGGGTCTGCAACCATGTCGAGCCCGTCTCGGGACAAGGCGGGAGGCGCGCGCTGCTCTGCTTACAGCCCAGCCCCGCTTCTTGAGAAGACTGAGCTTTCCCCGCCTTTGATGCAAACCCAGCGCCCTTGTGCGCGGGCCGCCCTCTCCCCGTGCTCCGCCCATTACTCTGTGCGTCCGCCTCTGGCAGCGCTGTGCCGGCCTCCTTGGTGTCGCTGGTAGCGGCGTTGTCCAGCTTTGTTCTTTCCTCAGTGTTTGTGATTTACGCCTAAATATTTCATGATTTTTAGTGCTGTTGTGGAAGGTACTATTTCCTAGATTTCAGTTTCCAATATGTTAGAAATCGGTCTCTAAATAATGTACAGAAATGTGAATGGTTTGCGTTCCCTTTACCGTGCAGACTGCGGCCAGTCCGGCGCTCTGCGGCTCTGCCGTGCCTGCCCGTCCTGGTCCCGCATGTGCTCACCCTGTGTGCCTCTTCCATTGCAGAGTGCCCCACCGGCCCAGACATCATTCCCATTGTGGCCGGGGTGGTGGCTGGCATTGTCCTCATTGGCCTTGCGTTGCTGCTGATTTGGAAGCTTTTAATGATCATTCATGACCGAAGAGAATTTGCCAAATTTGAAAAGGAAAAAATGAATGCCAAATGGGACACGGTAAGTTGGAAAACCTCTAAAAAGGAAGGTGATCCACAGAGTGAGTGTTAACACTTCTAAGACGTGTTTATTACAGTCCTCTTTAAATCTTGTGTTCCCCCAAAGTGCATTATTCAGAAAACTTACACTTAGCGAAAAACAGAAAAAACATCTTAAATACATTCTATTACATAAGACAAAACAATTGTAAGAATGTTTCCTCTGGTTACTGTGGTCAATGTTTTTATTTCATTAATTACTTTGATCTTAAATCTGCCCTCCTGCCTCTTCTCATGAAGAGTGGAACCCTGAATGGTGTCTGTATAACAGACTGTGCAGTGGATGCTGCCTTCTGTCTTTTCAACAAAGAACCTGAGGTGGAAGCAGCCAGACTCAAAAGGCTGCAGACTGACTCCATTTATATGACAGTATGAAAAAGGCAGAACTCTCAGGGCAGAAATGAGATCATGGTTTCCAGGGTCTGGACCTAGGGGAAGGGCAGCGGGCGTCTTGGGACAATCTCCATTGTGGGTGTGTTCATGCACGTGAGAATTCATGGCACTCTGCAGTTAAGCAGGGTATATTTTACTCTCTGCAAATGTAAAGTCAGTAAACTTTGCTTTATAGAATCATTTGAAAATGTGCATGGCTGACAGTTCGTGCCAGCACTTGGGTTTGAGTTACAGTCCCCGGGTGCCCATCTCTTGCTACATGAAAGCAGTGGCACTCTTCAGTATTTCAAATTGAAAATGAATCTTAAGTCATTTGTATTTTACTACAATTTGCTTGGGTTTTTGAAAAAAATTGAGTTTCAGAAGTGTTAAAATAGTAAAAATTCTTTTATAGTGTTTAAACACGGTATGTATTGTCGGTTTTTTCTGATGAAATCATTAGAAACTATTTCTTTTACTTTAGCAAGAAAATCCGATTTACAAGAGTCCTATTAATAATTTCAAGAATCCAAACTATGGACGTAAAGCTGGTCTCTAAGTGGCCGTCGGTATTCTCCTCCGTCCTGTCTCTGCATGTGAGATGGGTCCTTCTCTGCTGCACTGTGTGTCCTTCATCACTCTTGCTTTTCTTGCTTTTAAGTCTGGCTTTATTTATATGGCTCTATCATGGCTTTTGTTTTTGTGTGTGAATTTAGTGTTTAGAAGGGCTTTAAATTACGCTTCATGGTGTGGAAGCAGCAGCTGTGTTGTAGTGAAAAGACAGTGTGCCTTGTGGTCAGACTCCAGGGGTTGGGTCCCAGCTCTTCCACTGGTTAGAAGGGCCCTGGTCCTCCACTGCTGGGGCCTGGGGCTCTCGGACAGGGGAGAGGGGGCAGTAATCAGACTGCAGAGGATGGGGGTGGTTTTGAGCCAGTGGATTGCAGTCTCACATTCCTCTCAGAGTCTGATGCTTCAGGTGGTGGTGCTGTCCTCGTATAATAAGTTATGTAAGTTTTAGGGTGAAATAGTGAAATTAAGGGCCAAATAGAAGAATGAATGTCATCTGGCATAACATCTGTATAATATGTAACTATAACGTCATTGTTAGTGTGTCTAGAAGTATTTTGAAAATCTTTAGTTCTTGATAGTATCTTGAAATTCCATTAAAAACCAGAACCTTTTACTTACATATATATTTATATTTTTCTTGTTAGTTATTGAATAATAATTCTAATATTCAAAGCTAACATTGAACTTTTTTGGAAAGATAACAAGGACTTTAAAGAGAAAATCCCATTATACTTTTAAATAAAAACTTAGTTGAAAATGTCATGGTTGGGATAAAGCTTGGTTTACCTCTTCTCTGAGCTAGGGTCAGTGATTCTGGTGTCTGTTTTACCTGGATGACAGGTTTTTCATTTTCTCTTTTATCATTAGTGGACAGGATTCCTCCTTATAACTGAATTTTCATGAAATGCTTTCTGCATATTTTAATATAATTATGTAAGCCCCTGAAACTCTCTGATCCAAAGATTGTGATTAGAACCAGTTCTCCTGACTGGTGAGCCTGGACTCTGCTGCCCTTCCCAGGTACTTTCATTCATATTTCACATATGAGAAAACTGAGGTGCAGGAGGGTTCGGTGACTTGATCACGGTCACATGACTAGTTAGTGGAAGAGCTGAGATTCACCCAGCTGCTGGGCTCCGGGGTCCGGGTTCTTAACCACTGCCTCGTACTGGCAGCGGTCACGTCTGCAGGGGGCGCTGTCGCCTGGTTAGAAGGAGGTAGATCACTCCTTATAGAAAGGTACAAGCTTTTGATTCTGGTAACTTAACAGTGACAGTGTTAAATGTTTGCCCTACGCAGGAGTATTAGAGAAACGAGAAACCCCCTATATCACCTAGACACCAACTCTGCAGGTTTGCTTATTCACTCTGCTGGACGCATGTAACAAATACGGTCTCAAAATACGGAAGGTTTAATGTTTTTAAGAGATACAGGAAGTACTGATAACATTAGAAACCATTGCTTGTCAGACTTTTATTTTACTTCTAACCAGATTTTAAGACTGTTGAAATGGCAAAGTTAAATTTGATGGCAGAAAATTACAGATTCATACATGGGCAGTCTGGTATATTTTCTTGTTAGTACGAGACTTGATAAATTCTTTTCTTTCTCACTTAATACTTTTCCAGAAAATCATTTTCAGAAGGAATCAGATTTGCTAGGATTTTTTTCCGTCTTTTTTTTGGTAGGTCAAAAACAGTCAGACATTCACAATTTCATATGGTTACTTCTTATATGAGAAAAATTTCTCTCCTGTTGAAAGGTGAAATTTTCACCTTTGCTATATGTTAACTTGTACTTTGAAGGAAATTATCGATAAATTAATAGTGAGACTCAGTGTTTTTATTGTTAACTCAATTTTTGGCTAAAATATTTCTTCTTCAGCCAAAATAAGCATTTTGAATAATTCATGAAGCAAAAGTTTGATAAATATTTATTAGTGAAATCCAAGCAAATGAGTGGCTACGGTTTATTCTGAGATGTTTTCTCAAGAAAAATAAAGTAGAAATAAACAATAGAAATTAATAAATAAGCATTAAGAAATTAAAACGAATCATGGCTTATAAAGCACTTGGTCCAAAATGGGACCAAGGCTTACCAATTAATTATTCCATTAACATGTCAGGTAATAGGCAGACACTGTAATTATTTCAGCACATCAGATTTCTCATGTAGGTACATTTAAAAAAAAATCAAATTATCAACTTTATAATTGTTAAAGTGGATTGAAAAGTCGCCCCTCACTGCTGTTAAGCAGATTTGAATGTGAATAAGGTGAATCTCCCACAGTTGTGCAGGGTTTTTCCAGTTCGTTCCAGAGATGGGGCGGCAGCCACCACTGTCGGCCTTTCCACAAGGAGCTCAGGGCGGCACTTTGCTGAGCGCCCAGGACTTTACTGCCCAGCATGCCCTGTCCTCTTGATTTAAGTAGGCCTTGCTTTTGGTCAGGGTCGGGAGGGCTGCACTCTGAGCCATGGTAACTAATCTGCGTTTTAGCTTACCCCCGTTACGATGATGCCCGACACAGTTTAATCTTACCTCTAACCTTGCATGTTCAACTTCTGTTTGGATGGACTTTGAAATAATAAATACAGATGTTGTATATATGAAAAGGCAGACTTTTCTCCCAAGGTAAGTTCTGCCATTTAAATCCTGTCTTGGATTTATCTGTAACTTTGGTGGTTTTTTCTTTTCTTTTTTGTTTTCTGGATTTTTTGGTGGTAGTTGTTACCTCCCTTAAAATAATCTTAAGTATTAAAATTAGGCTTATGTAATGCATTATTTTAAAGAAAAGTAAATGGTAATTTATTTCCCCAGCGTATTTGAAAGAACGGGCAGTCCTAGCCTCGTTCACAGATAGGAAGATGGAAGTAATGTGACTGACTTGTCAGGAGTGTTTTTGCTCGAGATCCCTGCCTCCAGTACGAAGTGTCTTCACGGTCATGTATTAGCTTCTGTGGGGATCGGAGCTCAGACCCTGATACCCTGTACGACTGTTATCACCCGTATCACAAAATGCTGATCTGTGAGGGATTCTGAGTTCCTGTGTGTTTCAGAAAGGACCGGTCACTTGGTGTTTTGCGGGTGGGGCTAAGGCACGTTGTCAACTGTCACTTGGTGTCCAGACCAACTGCTGAGCTGAAGTCAGGGTGGTTACACGGTGTCTCTCGGGACCCACCCCACGTACTGTGCTGGGCCGAAGTGATCTCCTGCCTGCAGGAGAATTGTCTCCTCAGCGTGGCACATCAGATGGTCAGTCTGACACTGTCTGCTTTCTTGACTCCTCCCTTCCCTGCCCCTCAAAACACCCAAAGGCACCCTCAG